AGTTCAGGCTGTAGTATAAGCCACTTTATCACTTGGGGCTTTTTACCCATCAGGTCCAATGATACTTCAAGTGTCTGTGGCAAATGGGCATGCTGTAAGGAGCCTCCGGGCAAGCACTGACAGGATAGTCCCAGCACCGAGCTCTAGGATTTTGTAGCAAATCTATGCCTTGTGCTGGATATGACTATTTTCCTTTAAAAAAATAGTGGTACGTATCAGTCTGAGTCCAAGACTGAGACCTGAGAAGCAGGGGACCTAATGGTGTAAATTCCGAGGGTAGGAGAAGATGAGATGAGATGTCCCAGCTAAAGGATGATGCAAGGAGGAAAAAGATGGGGTTGCAAATTCCTCCTTCCTCCACTTTTTGTTCTATTCAGGCTCTCAGTGGATTGGATGAGGCTGGCCCGTACTGGGGAGGGCTGCCTACTTTGCTGAGTCCACTGATTCAAACGCTAATCTCATCTGGAAACATCTTCACAGACACACTCAGAAATAATGTTTAATCTGGGTGCCCTGTGGCCCATTTAAGTTGATACATAAAATTAACCATCACAGATTGCTAAGGCCTTGAAAGAAATAGATTTGGGAAATGGGCGACAAGGATGTCTGGGGAAGAGGTCTGTGATGGACCTTTTGGAATGGTCAGATTATAAAGATGTTTGGGTCCCATGTAAATGAGGACCAAAGGCATTCACTGAAGAGAAGCTCTCAGTACTTAGGTGGACAAATCATGTACTCTGTGGATATCATTCTCTCTTCCTAGCCACTCCAGTGCTTGCTCAATGGACCCATGAAAAGAGTGGCCATGGTAGGATTAGAGGCTATGCATTGGTTTGACAGCATGGATTTGCTCTTACCAAGGCTGACCTGGCGAACACCACTGCTGAGAGCCTACTGTGTTAGCAACAGAGACCAATACGGATCCCCTAATATGGTCCCATTCACTGGGGGAACCAACCAGCCACCTGGTGGCAGGCCGATTACATTGGACCTCTTCCATCTTGGAGAGGACAGAGATTTGTCCTCATTGGAATTGGCACATTCTGGACCTGGACACACCTTCCCTGCCCCACAATGCCTCTGCCAGTAGCACTATCTATGGACTCACAGAACCCCTTATACCCCATCATGGTATCTCCCACAGCACTGTTTCTGATCAGTGATTTCCATAGCATTGCTTCTTTTATAGCAAAGGGAATGCAGCAGTGGGCTCTTGGCCATGGAATTAACTGGTCTTCTCTTATACTGCATCACCTAGAAGCAACTGGACAAATTTTGAAAGCTCACTAATGTGATAGAATGGCTCACTGAACACTCTTTTGTGTCAGTTGAGAGTCATATCCTGAAAGGAATGGGTGCTATATTAAAGAATACCAGGGGGTGCCTGGGTGGCTCAGTCAGTTAAGTGTCTCTGCCTTTGGCTCAGGTCACGATGCCAGGGTCCTGGGATCGAGTCCTGTGCTGGGCTCCTTGCTCAGCGGGGAGTCTGCTTCTCCCTCTCACTCTCCCTCTATGCTCTCTCTCTCTCTCTCTCTCAAATAAGTAAATAAAGTCTTAAAAAAAAAAAAGAATACCAGGTGTGCTTTGAAACAGAGAATAATCCAGGACGCTGTTTCCCCACAGTCAGAACATATGGGTCTTGGAATCAAGGAGTGGAAGTGGCTCATTCACTGGTAAGTCCAATCATTCATTGATAGAATTTTTGCTACCCACCCTGGCTACCTTGCGCTCTGCTTGTATGGAATTCTTAGTCCCCAAAGAGGAGATGCTCACCAGAGGACACCTTCATGGCCCGAGGTAAATCACCCCAATCAGTGTGGCACTCTGCCTGACCTGACAGAGGAGAAGAGAAGCATGGCTGATGTTTCTGTGAAGAATACAGGAGAAAGATAATCTCTCAAAAGTGCTCGTTTCTGGAAAATACGTTCTGGGTAGGACTGGAAGAGTTTAGAATCTGTCAAGTCTATAAAAGAGAGAAATCAGCCATGCATAGATTTTTTTTATTTGCTTGTCTGATTGGAAAGAAAAGTCAGGGTTTTATGATCTGTTGAGTGGACAAATCTTTCCCAGGCTTCTGAGATGCTTGAAGATGCAAATGAAAAGCTTGCTTACCATCTTGTCTGTATAAGTTACAGCATAAGACTAACAGAGCAGGGTTGCTGGTTAATACAAAATTAATGTTAGTCCAATGACATACTGCTTTAGCGATCCTTGGTGATTATGCTAAGGTTATTACTATGCATATATTCACTTCTAGATGAACGGTCCACTTGCACCTTTAAAACATTGCCTATTTTGTCCATATTCTCATGTTGTAGTTAAACGCACATACTCTAGAGTCTGATGCTGGGGTTTGAATCCCCGCTCAGTCACTTTCCAGCTCTGTGATCTTGGGTACGTCAATTAATCTCTCTGTGCCTAAGTTTCCTTATCTACAAAATAAGGATGATGGCGTATGTACTTCAGAGTGTTGTTTGAAGGATTAATTCAGGTAACACATTCAAAGTCCTTACAGTAGTGCTTGGCCCACAGTAAGCAATGAATACATGCTAGCAATTGTTAATATAATTTGGCAATGCTTGCTCAAAGTCTGCTTGCTGGGAATACAAACCATTTTATATCCCCTCTCTCTGTGGCAAACCTGCAGAATGCCTGTTAACATCTGTAATGGGCCAAATTGTATCTCCTTCCCTCCCCCACCCAAATTCACAAGTTGAATCCCTAACCCCCATTGAGACTGTATTTGGAGACGAATACTTTAGGGAAGTAATTACTTCCTTAGGTCACATGGGTGGGCCTCTAATCTGATAGGATTGGTGTCCTTATACGAGGAAGAGACATCAGAGATCTCTCTCTCTCTCTCTTTCTCTCCATGCAGGAAAGGAAAGGCCATGTGAAGACACAGAGGGGAGGCAGCTGTCTACAAGCCTGGAAGAGAGCCCTCCCCAGAAACCAACCCTGATGACGTCTTGATTTTGGACATCTGGCCTCTAGAACTGTAACAAGAGAAATGTCCGTTGTTTAAGCCACCGAGTCTGTGTATTTTGTCATGGCAGCCCTAGCTGACTAAGACCATGACATGATAAAGTTTCCTAATTTACATGTTCGGTGAGAGACAAGTGAGCAGTGCGGACACATGGTGTCGAAGGTCATCCTTGAACACCATTTACCTATCCTGTGAAAGTCTGGTATCTACCATGGGGCATGTGTGTATGTGTGAGGGGGTCATATACACCATCAGGACTGCTGTTCACTTGATTCCTTCTAATGATAACTGCTTTTTCTGCAAAATTTATCAAAGCCCTAGGCTGACTACTAGATATGCAGGTAGGTATTAGTTATTATCTGTGAGAAGCCCTCAATCTTCTGTCTGCTTTTAGGCTCATCACAGCGGACTTTGTAGGAATAAGAACGTGGTTGACTGAGTCACTGATCAGATTGTGGGCTAATGAGACTGACTGCATGTCAGCTGGAGCCTCCCATACCCTCACCAGCTGGGCAGTGCTGGCTGGAGTACTGATCATTCCAGTTCTGGGGATGCCCAAAGGCCTCCCTTGGTTGTCCCCCTATTGCCCGAGGCTGCCCTTCTCACGGCTTTTTCCTCCGGAGTCCCTGTCCTGCAGGGGTGGGATGTGGACCACAGAGTTGCCTTTCAGACCACGGTCACAATGAGCATTCATGAATTAAATTGCCCTAACTGAAGATTTAGGGAGCACAGGAAGATTTGGGGGTCACAGGGAGGTGAGGCCCAGCCTTGAAACTTCCTCTCCTGCTTCTTTATGCTCTTTTCTCCTTACCTTTCCTTCCAGAATTCCCTAAGAACTTTCCCCTCAGTGCATGGAAGGATTTAGCTGGGTTCCGAGACTCAGACTTGCAGAAACCCTAGTAAATAAGATGCTTACAGGACAAAGAGTCTTCCATTTCAATGCAGTTCTGCTTATACATTTATTATATATGACATGTACCATGGAATACATATTACATGCATGATTATATGTAAGATGTAATACATATAAAAATATTATAGATACAGTTATAAACATCCTGTTTTTTCTTCTTAGTACATTAGAACACTCAGGGCAATCTGGAGATAAAAGGAGCTGCTGAGTTTAGAGAGATAGAGACTGTTGAGCCTGAGTCTCATCAGACTCACGCATTGACTTGTGAAAAGCTGGTTGGAATTTACTTCCTAATTTATTCCACAGGTGTAGCAGAATCTGGAAGTAGCAATTATATAAATCATGCAGCTTTAGGAAAATCAGGACAAAACGGCTTTTCAAATCTTTTATTAGGGCTTTCCTAGGATTATCATGAAATAATAAGCAACACGAAAGAGAGCGAAAGAGAGAGAGCTCTCCAAAAAAGTTTATTAGCCCACGCTGAACTTCCTAACTCACCTCCGCGAAGCAAAAGTCAGATTTGATTTCTACGCATTTTGACCCTAAAAGAACTACACAGAAAACGTAAACGCCTCTACCGAGGAATCATGCAAAGCAACAGCGATCATTGTCAGGAGGCCACGCGTTTGGAACAGGCTTTCCGCCTGGAAAGCTTTCACCCAGCGCATCCGTGGGGCGCGCGGGACAAGGGCTGGGCCGCCGCTCCGGGCAGCGAGTGACCCTCTCGCGCAGCCCCCGCACTCCCCCCCAACTCCGCGCGGGGGCCTGGGGATGGGTGGGCGCCGGGACCCACACGGCGCGCAGCGGCTGCCGAGCGCCCCTGGCCGGGGGCCCACCTCCGCCGCGGCCGCCTCCCGGCCCTGTCCCGCCGCCGCCCACGCCCCGTCGCAGGGGGCAGGGCAGGAGGCGGGCGGGTGGCCCGCCCCGAGACCTTTTAAAGCGCCGCGGGCGAGGGCCGGGCGCCGTAAGCTCGGCGGCTGAGAGAGCGGCGCTCCAAGCCCAGCGCCCAGGGCTGCCCTTCGCCGGCCGGCGGGGCGGCGCTGTCGGCCCCGGGGCGGCCGCTCCCGGCTCGCCGACGCCTCTCGCTCCCGGCGGCCGCGCGCCACCCCGCTCTGTCCTGCCAGTCCCGGGAGTCCCCCCCGCCATGCGCCCAGGCTAGTGCGCCCAGGGCGCAGCGCCGACCCCGGCCGCGCCGGCCGCCCGCTCCCGCCGCCGGCATGCTGCGCCCGCTGCTGCTCGCGGCGCTCTGCCTGGCCGGCCGGCTTGCAACTGCCCGCGGCTGTCAGCTGCCCTCCGAGTGGAGACCCCTGAGCGAGGGCTGCCGCGCCGAGCTGGCGGAGATCATCGTGTACGCCAAGGTGCTGGCGCTTCACCAGGAGGTGCACGGCCTGTACAACTACCTGCCGTGGCAGTACGAGGCCAGGGACGCGGGGCTCTTCTACTCGGCCGAGATCGAGATGCTGTGCGACCAGGCGTGGGGCAGCATGCTCGAGGTGCCTGCGGGCTCCAGACTCAACCTCACTGGCCTGGGCTACTTCTCGTGTCACTCCCACACCGTGGTCCAGGACTACTCGTATTTCTTCTTCCTCAGGTGAGCGCGGCACCTCCCGCCCACTCCTTCTCCTCCAGCTATCCGCGCGACCTCCCGAGGGCACCGTTATCCGGAGCCAGGTCAGGAACAGCAGGGAATCCCGTCCGTACCATTTTGGAATACGCCTTGGGCTCCTTTCCTTACTCTTTGTTCTCTCCTGCTCCGTGGGACGTCTCGACAAAGGTCCTGGGGTGTATTTGGCTAAGGCTGTTAAAAAACAAAACAAAACCCCCAAACAGGGATGATTTCAGTGCTTAAAGCGTTGAAGTGTTTCAGGCAAAAGCCCAAAAATAGTTTCCAAAAATCCATTTGACTCTTCTTAAAATTTATACTTTTAATTGGATTCCCTGGGAGTCGCTTGGGATGGTGAGGGGGGGAAAACACCAGACTTTGAAATCAGATTCTCGTTGGAATTTTGGCTCTGCTCTTCCTGTGATTTTTGAGCAAATTGTCTGTTGAAGAACCTCCGGATCCTCAGTTCCATAATGTGAGAAACCAGGTTGATGTGACCAACGCACAGCTATGCAGAACACCTGGTGCAGGTTAGCTGCAGAAGGACTAGTCACTCTTTTTTTCCCCACCTGCTGAAATGACAAGATAGGCATGGTGTGGGAATGCAGCGCAGCTGTCCCTTTGTTTCACCCCCTTATCCACCACCAGCAGACCTCAGCGCTGGGCTTTTCAAAATAGCAAAGGTTTATGTGGGGGCCTGCTGGGGGAGAGGGGGGGAAGACCTGGCTTGTAGTGCTTTGAAGAGGATGGGTGAAGCAAGGCAGGAGGTTCTCTCTGACTGGAGGCTCCTGGAATCCTGTGAAGTTCCATGAAAGTTGGCCCGCAGTCAAGACAGAATTCGCGTGTATAAGAATTCATTCGGTCAATGGGTCTGAAGCAGGTGGAACCCTAAATGCATTGGCTGTCTCCCGCTGAATTAGAGTGATGTAGAGCAGCTGAGAGAAGCCTTGAATTGGAATGTAACCTACATATCAAGCTAGTGAGTGAATTAATCCAGAGTTGAGACTGGTAATGGTTCCAGTCTTCCCAGTCCCTGAAGAGGCAACAAGGACTTTTGGAATGGCTATGACCCCAGTCTGCGGATTCACTTTTAACCTCTTGAGATTTCACATCCCTCTAAGAAAACCGTAAGATTCACCGAGGGGCGTTCATAAGCTCATGGCAACACACGTTTCCCGTATTGAAGCCAGAACCTCTAAGTTTAGAATGCATGGCGTGCTTTGTGTTGGCTTGAGTGGTTTAGTGAGATGGAGTTGTTTTTCTTTTCTTTTTAATTGCTGGGGAAGTATAGTTTCTAAATAAAGTCAGCAAGGAGTGAACTAGTATCCTTCTTCATACAGAGAAACTTAACTCAGATTTTTCATGTTTCTCTTTAGGAAGGACACGGAGACCCCAGCTATAAAGCTGTTAATCACTGAAACTTTATTTTCCAAAGCAAAAAGAGCTGGAGGACTTGAGCAGACATTATTTTTTCCTGATTTTTATCACGAAAGAGCTTTGTCCAGTGGCTCTGTGGTGGTCAGCCAGCTCTTTAATCCTTCCCTCTGACATATTTACAAAAAGTTAGGGCAGAAATACAGAGTCAACTGGTAGTCTGACAGATTTCCATTTCACGGGGCTGTGTTGCCCTGAAGTTAACAACTGCATACAAATCATTCCTCCCCTGTTATTCTGGGACCCAGTGAGACAAAACAGATTCTGGGCAGTGTCACAGGGGAAAGTGGCAGTGGAGGCTCCCTGGTGAGCCCTACATCCCCTCTTTGTGCTGGAGGGTAACTTCGACCTCTTCTCTCTCTCTCTGTGATTTCTTTATCTTTCCAACAGGTGATTGATTCTTAGCTCGATAAAAATGTTAAAATCCATACCACACTCACTGAATGCCACTTTATCTAATGCAGTCCTTCCACTACCAGCAAGAAAGTGCTATTCTCCTCCTCTTTGTCTGGAAGAGTGAAGCTTAGATAATCGAGGAAATTCATCTCCAGATAGATCAGTAGCAATGGCAGGATTCAAACCTGGGTCCTTAGAACTGGCTTTCCTTTGGTCAAGAAACAAGGAACACTCGGTGAGAAAGAAGGCCACTTGGGAGATCTACAGGTAGACACATATGCATCCCCCCGCCCCCGGCCCCGCCCCGCAACTCTTCACCTAAACTCCCCTCTGGGAGAAGATAGGGATAGACCCCTGTAGTGTGAGGCAGAGAAACATTTAGAAATAGTAAGTCCTCTAATGAGAGCCAGGTGAGACCTAGTTGTATAACAGCAAGACTGTCAGTCTTTACAACTCTTGATTAAGGCTGCTATACCCTATGGCTGTCCAGTCTACAGTTCTGCTTTTTTCTTTTTTTTCCCCATTAGGATGGATGAGAATTATAATCTCTTGCCTCACGGAGTCAATTTCCAAGATGCCATCTTTCCAGACACTCAAGAGAACAGAAGGATGTTTTCCAGCCTTTTCCAGTTTTCGAACTGTTCTCAAGGGCAGCAATTGGCAACTTTTTCCAGTGACTGGGAGATCCAGGAAGACAATAGGGTAAGAACTGGCTGTTCCCTGGGTCACAGCAAAATAATAGACCGACTACATCTTGTCTGAATTCCGTGACCAAAGGAGTCAAGAGTGCTCTTCCAGAAGCCCAGACCAAAGAGTATTATCCCTCCTGTTACCCTGGCAGTTAAAAAACAAACAAACAAACAAACAAAACCCTAAACCAAAAACCAAACCAACCCCAAACACTGCTCATAAAGTGGATTCCTGAGGCTTTACTCGGTTTGGGGTTCCTCATAAAGTGAGAGAACAGATGGAATGAAGGTTGGCATATGGCCTCAGTTTCCTTTCCTGTGAAATGGGAACAATCTACGTCATAGGGTTGATGCAATACGATTTAACTATGTAAAAAAAAAAAAAAAAGCCTTTAACCTAGTGCCTGGCAAAGTACTCAGTACATGAGAGCTGTTAGGACTATTATATCATTACCGTTATTGATTGCATAAGGCTCTAGGGACTCTTCTAAGGGAGAAGAAAAAGTCCTCAAAGAAATGGTTGTCCTAGCTAACACTTTCACGATTGTTAACTCTAGTTGTGAAGACCTAGAGGTGCAGGGTGGCCAAAGTGGTTGTGGAATTGTAAGGGTTAAGATAATTTGGGGTCTGAAGATATAAAAGGGATCTGCCCATCTGGGACGGATGCCAGAGTTGGAGGGAGATTTTGAAGACTGTCCCTTTCCCAAACGGCATTGCCATACTGGAGCTGGGATGATGTGGGACTGGGTCAGTAGAGGTGGCCCCAGTCCCCCATCCGAGATGTTTTTAGGACAGTGTGACAGACTGCTGGGAGCCTTCTGATGTGGGGTTTGAGGTATCCCATGGGACAAGAGCTATTTTTACGGGTTGATGAATTAATTTGCACATGGTAAGTGGCTCGCATGAGTCCCCGAATCTAGAAGTGTAAAATGGTAGTCAATGGAGTTTCTCTCCCACCTCTGATGCCCCCCCAACCTGGTTCCACCTACTCTACAGACAAGTAGCTACTGTTACTAGTTTCTTATAAATGTTGGAGTATTTCCATCCAACAAATCAAACTTGTATTATTTACTGTTGTCTTTGACACAAATGGTAGCCCACTATGCACACTTTGCTGTACGTTGCTTTTATTCACAAGTACATCTTGAAGATCTTTCTATATCAATACAGATAAAGTTGCCTTAAAGGCTGCCTAGTGTGTTCCATTGTGTGCCTGTGTCACAATATATTTGATCAGGTCCTCTGGTAATAGGTGGTTAGGTTGGTTTCCAGTACTTTACTATTACAAAGAGTGTGGGCATGTAGGATATTATACATACCTCATTTTGTGGGACTGCAGAGTCCAATCTTTGGCCAATATCATGCACCTACTATAAAGCAGCTACTGTGTTAGATGCTAGTTTTTCAATGTTGAGCAAAATACAAAGTGCCTCTTCTCCTGGAGCTTGTAGTACTAGTGTTGGTGATTGACAGAATCAAAAGACCCCATTAATGATTGCATAATTTTAAATGGAAACCTATGCTCCAAAAAAGAAAAAATCCGGGAATCTGACCTAGACTTGAGGGTAAAGAAAGCCTTCTCTGTTGACTTGTTACTGGAGTGAAGATCTGATGAGGAGGCATCCTAGTTAATGTTGGGATCAAGGAGAGAGGAGTGCAGTCCAAAGAAGGACAGTCTGTGCAAAGTCCCTGTGGTGGCAGAGTGCATGGTACCTTTGAGGGAATGAAAGGAAGCTACTTGTCTGGAGCAAAGGGAGTGAGTGAGAAGGATGGGACAAGAGCTGGAGGTGGGGCCAGACCTAGTGAGGATTTGGGCTTTGTCCTAACTAATGGGAAACCTTTTATGTTGTGAAAGGAAGGGGCGGTGGGGATCAAATTTACATTTTGAAAAACCAACTGGGTTGGAAGGAATCCAAGGGATGTGGTGAGAACAGGTAGTAGTTATAAAGCTACCAGGTAGTTGCTGGACTAGGGTAGAGGCAGTAGGGATGGAGTAGAGTGGAAAAATTTGGAAGAGATTTAAGAAGTAGGTGTTCCTGATGGTTTGGTTGCAAAGTGGGTGGAGGAAGGTCAAAGATAACTCCTGGGTTTCTGCATGTGAACTGCATGCCAGGACAGACATAGAGAAATGTGAATAGGAGAGGTTTGGTAGGGGAATTCATATGTCAGATGCTGAACGTCCAGAGTTGAGGTGTTTTTGAGCCATTTTGTGCCAAGTGAGATCTTGCATAGTGGTTGGATCTATCCGTTCAGAGCTTTGAGAAGAGCTCTAAGTGGCAGATAGACCTTGGGACTTAATAATTAGATGTCAGTTGAGGCTAGATGTGAATGAGAGTTTCAAGGGAGAGCACATAGAGCAAAGTATGGGCCCAAGGGTAGGACTGAGCCTTGTGGAATGCGAACACTGGTTGGGAAGGAACAGTCAGAGAGAGGTAGAAGAGTCAAGGGTACAGAGTGTTTCTAGAAGAAGGGAGTGATCATCAGAGTCAAAAGCTGTTGAGAAGTCAAGTAAAACGATGCCTGAGGAGTAACCTCTCTTTGGTGACCCAAATGAGGACAGTTTCCATAATCTGAGGGAGTAAGGTGGTGGGGCATGAGTGAGGGTAGACAACTCTTTGATGAAGTTTGCCTGTGGATGGTTTAATACATATAATCAGGCTGCAGGTGAAGGGGGTAGAATAGTTGAGGGGAGGGGTTTTGTTGTATTTAAAGATGGCGGCCTGTTCACACCACTTGGTCTCTGTTTTCCTACTCCTCAGACCCTGTCTATTCAAGTCGACTGAACGACCCAAGGGCAGGGATATCTATTTTGTTTACTGTTGTATACTTGGTGTATTTTTTTATGGGTCTTACACATTTGTTAAATGAATCCTGTCTCTCGTCCAGAGAGAGCTGATGTCTAAGGAAGCAGAAGCCTCTGTCTCTTTCGGTCTCATTTTCTACATTAAGATCGAAAATCCATATACAGTAAAAATCACTCTCTTGCATATGTTATGAGTTTTGATAAATGCACATTGCTATACTGTATAATCACAACTACAACCACAGTGTGGAAAAGTACCATCGCTGAACAGAACCTCCCTTCTGCGCTCTTTTTGGTCAGACTCTACCCTCACCTGAACTCACGGGAACGACTGATATGTTCTCCAACACTAGTTGTGCACTTCCAGAGTGTCTTATGAATGGAATCGTACAGTATTACAGTATGTTGCTTTTTTTTTTTTAGTTTGGCTGCTTTTTCTTAGCATAATACATTTAAAATTTGTGTTGTGTTTATTAGTACACTTTATTTTTAATTGCTGAATATTCCATTGTAGGGATGTATCTTTGTATGTTTGGATATTAACCCCTTATTGGGTACACCCTTTGCAAATACTTTCTCTCATTCAGCAGGTTGCTTCATTTTGTTGATGGTTTCCTTCACTGTGCAAAAGGCTTTGGTTCGATGCAGTCTCAATTTTTTATTTCTGCTTTTGTTGCTTTTGCCTGAGGAGACTTACACAAAAACCTGCTCAGACCAATATCCAAGAGTTTACTGCTTATGTTTTCTTTTAGGAGTTTTATAGTTTCAGGTCTTACATTTAGAGTTTCTTTTTGTATGTGGTGTAAGAAAGTGGTTCAGTTTCATTCTTTTCTTCATGTAGCTGTTCACTTTTTCCAACACTATTTATTGAAGAGACTGTCTTTTCTCTGTGGGATATTCTTGCCGCCTCCTTTGTAGATGAATTTACCATATATGTGTGGGTTTATTTCTGGGCTGTCTGTTCTGTTCCTTTGATCTGTGTGTCTGTTATTGTGCCAGTACCATACTGTTTTGATTTACTGTTGACTAGAAGTGTAGCTTGAGATGTGGGAGGATGATCCCTCCAGCTTTGTTGTTCTTTATCAAGATGGCTTTGGCTATTCATGGTCTTTTGTGGTTCCGTACAAATTTTACGATTGTTCGATTTCTGTGAAAAAATGCTATTGGTATTTTGATAGGGATTACATTGAATGTGTAAATTGCTTTGGGTGGTATGGACATTTTAACAATACAAATTCTTCCAATCCATGAGCATGGTATGTCTTTCCATTTGTGTCTTCAACTTATTTCACCAGTGCCTTATAATTTTCACAGTACAGATGTTTCACCTTCTTGGTTAAATTTATTCTTAGGCATTTTACTATTTTTGATGCAATTGTAAATGGAATTGTTTTCTTAATTTCTCTTTCTGATAATTCATTATTGTGTAGAAATGCAACCGATGTCTGTATATTAATTTTGTAAATTAGGGTTTCCTGTATTTAATGTCATATCATTTGCACATAGAGACAGTTTTACTTCTTCCATTCCAATTTGGATGCCGTTTCTTTCTTGTCTAATTTCTCTGGCTAGGACTTCCAGTACTATGTTGAATAAAAGTGATGGGAGTGAACATAGCCTTGTCTTGTTCCTGGTTGTAGGGGATACGTTTTCAGCTTTACATTGTTGAGTATGATGTTACCTGTGGCTTTCCATACACGGTGTTTATTATGTTGAGGTATGTTCCTTTTGTACTCACTTTGTTGAGATTCTTTATCGTAAATGGATGTTTGATTTTTGTCAAGTGCTTTTTCTGCATCTATCATGATAATCAGATTTTTATCCTTCATTTTGTTAATGTGCTGTATCATGTTGGTTTCCCACTTGATGGTGGTGAATGATCCTTCTAATAAGTTTTTGAATTGGGTTTGCTAATACTTGGTTGAGGATTTTTGCATCTCTGCTCATCAGGAATATGGGCCTATAATTTTTTTGTAGTGTTTCTGGTTTTGCTAACAGAGTAATGCTGGCCTTGTAGAATGAATTTGGAAACACTGCTTTAATTTGTGTGAATAGCTTAAGAAGGATAGGTATTAACTCTACTTTCAATGTTTAGTAAAATTCACCTGTGAAATTTTCTGCTCCTGGAGTTTTGGGTATTTTTGATAACCGATTCAGTTTCATTGCTAACAGTCTATTCAGATTTTACATTTCTTCCTGATTCAGTCTTG